TAGGGCTGCTAACCAAAAGGTCACTGGTTCAAATCTACCAGCTATGCCATGGGACAAAGATGAGGCAATGTGCTTCCGTGAAGATTTACAGGATTGGAAACCCTGTGGGATCACTATGAGTCAGAATTGACTGGATGGCAGTGGGTTTGGATTTTTTGGTGGTATTTAGATCTATGATCTGCTTTTGATTGTTACAAAGTGTGATATTTAGGTTGAGCATTTATTTCTTTTGGTGTAAACCCAAACACACTGCCATCGAGTCGATTCTAACTCACAGCAACCCTGAAGGACAGAGAAGAACTCCCCCATAGTGTTTCCAAGGCTGTAAATCATTATGGAAGCAGACTGCCTCATCTTTCTCCTACAGAGCATCTGGTAAGTCTGATCCACTGACCTTTTGGTTAGCAGCCAAATACCTTAACCACTGAGCCATCAGAGCCCTTTTCTTTGGGCTAACAGATGTCTAAATGTTCTTCTTGTTCTACTTCACTTGTTAAAGAGTTTATCCTTTCTCCATTGAATGACCTTTGCACCTTCGCCAAGTAACAATTGGGAATATTTCTGTTAATCTATTTCGAACTGTCCATTCTATTCCATTGATCTGTTTTTTTTATCCCTTTGCCAATACCACATTGTCTTGATTACTTTAGCTTTATAGTAAGTGTTAAAATCAGGTAGTGTGAGTCTTCCAACTATTCTTTTCCAAAATTATTTTGGCTGTTCTAGATCCTTTGCCATGTCCATATTTACAAATAAAATCCTACTTGGATTTTGATTGGGATTGCGTTAAATCTATAGATTAGCTGACATCTTAACAATATTTGAATTTCCCAATTCATGAACATAATATTTTCCCTCATTTATTTCAAACCAAACCAAACTCACTGCCATCGGGTCTGGATCTGATTCATAATGACCCCTCCTTGGGTTTCCGAGGTGGTACCACTATGGAAGTAGATTGCCCAACCATCCTTCCAAGGAGTGGCTGGTGGGTTTGAAACACCAGCCTTCTAGTTAGTAGTCAAATGCCTTAGGCATTATGTTCTTTTATTTATTTCATCAGTATTTTAATTTTCTTTCTTTCATCAACATTTCGTCCTTTTCAAGCTGTAGGTCCTACACTTGTTTTGTTAGATTTATATCTAAGTAATTTTGGTTTGGGGTTATTTTGAATGGATTTATTTTTTTAATTTCTGTTTCCAGTTCACTGTTACTATATAGAAATATGATTGATTTTTATATCAACATAGGACCTTACTAAACTTAGTTATTAATTCTAGGAGCTGTTTTGTAGATTCCTTAGGAGCTCGGATGTCACAGTGGTTAAAGCATTTGTCTACTAACCAAAATATTGGCAGTTTGAACCCCCCAGCCGCTTTGCAGGAGAAAGATGAGGCAGTCTTCATCCATAAAGATTTACAGCCTTGGGAACCCTATAGGGGCAGTCCTACTCTGTCCTAGAGGGTTACTGTGAGTTAGAATCAATTCCATGGCAAGTGGATTTGGTTTTGGTTTGGGGGGTTTTCTATGCAGACAATCAGGAAATCTGAAAATAGAGGCATTTTATTTCTTCCTTTTTGACATGTATGAGCTCTGATGGCTTAGAGCCTAAGGCATTTGACTGCTAACCAGAAGGCTGGAGGTTCAAACCCACCAGCCAATCTACTGAAAGGAAGGTAGGGCAATCTACTTCTGTGGTGATACCGCCTCGGAAACCCAAGGAGGGATTGCTATGAGTCGAATCTGACTTGATGGCAGTGAGTTTGGTGGGTTTTGTTTTGTTTGGTTTGGTAAGCCTTTTATTTCTTTAACCTGCCTTATTGCACTGGCAAGGGCTTCCTGTATGATGTTGTATAGCAGCAGTGACAGTGGGCATCCTTACCTTGTTCCTACTCTTAGGAGAAAACATTGTTCAGTCTTTCACCATGAGGTAAGTGTGACGTTGTTGTTGTTGTTAGGTGCCGTTGAGTCATCTTCGACTCAGAGAGCTTATGTACAACAGACCAAAATGCTGCCTGGTTCTGTGCCAGCCTCACGATCCCTGCTATACCTGAGCCCATCATTGCAGCCACTGTGTCAGTCCATCTTATGCAGGGCCTTCCCCTTTTTCCTTGACCCTCCACTTTACCAACTATGATATCGTTCTCCAGAGAATGGTCCCTTTTGACAACATGACCAAAGTAAGTGAGACGAAGCCTGGCCATTCTTGCTTCCAAGGAGCATTCTGGCTGCATTCCTTCCAGGACGTATTTGTTAGTCCTTTTAGCAGTCCACAGTACTTTCAGCATTCTTTGCCAAAACCACAACTCAAAAGCATCAATTCTTCTTCAGTCTTCCTTATTCATTGTCCAGCTTTCACATGCATATGAGGAGATTGAAAATACCATGGCTTGGGTTAGGCACACCTTAGTCTTCAAGGAGGACATCTTTTCTCTTCAGCACTTGAAAGAGGTCTGTTGCAGCAGATTTGCCTAATACCTCTGATGTCTTGACTGCTGCTTCCATTGGTGTTGATTATAGAACCAAGTAATATGAAGTCTTTGACAACTTCAGTCTTTTCTCCATTTATCGTGATGCTGCTTATTGGTCCAGTTGTAAGGATTTTTGTTTTCTTTATATTGAGGTGTAATCCATACTGCAGACTGTAGTCTTCAATCTTTATCAATAAGTGTTTGAAGTCATCCTCACTTTCAGCAAGCAAAGTTGTGTTGTCTTTATATTGCAGTTGTTAATGAGTCTTCCTCCAATCCTGATGCCATGATGTTCTTCATATAGTCCAGGTTCTCGGATTATTTGCTCAGCATACAAGCTGAAAAGTGTGGGGAAAGGATACAACCTTGATGCAAGTATGATAAATGTGATAGCTGTGAGTTTTTGTAGATGTCATTGATCAGGTTAAAGTTTTCTTCTAATTCTGGTCTGCTAAAGGATTTTTATCATGAATTGACATTGAATTTTTTCAAATGTTTTTCCTGCATCAACTGATTATAAAGGTTTTTCCTTTTTTTTATTTTGCCTCTATGATAGATTGCATTGATTTATTTAAATATCAAATTTAGTTATTGTGTATTATTGTTTTGTGTGGTTATATTCAGTTTTCTAATGTTTTCTTGAGCATTTATATATCCATGTTCATGAAGGATATTGATTTGTGTGTGTGTGTATGTGTGGTTTTCTTTGTACTGTCTTATTTTCTTACCTCTTAATATACTTTTTGCCTAATTTAGAATATGGGATCCATGAGGGTAGGGAGTTTTATTTGTTTCATTGTCTCCCCAGTTTTCCTAGAATAACATGTAGCATAGAGAACATGTTCAAAATATTTTTTTGAATGAATGAATGAACTTGAAAACATTGAGGAATACTGAAAAATATTAAAGGTATAGTAATAGAGTATGTTGTAACAGAGACAAAACTATAAGAAACATTGAACCCACAACTGTGGTTTCCAGCCAAACAAAGTACAGGCATGTGAGTTAAACATTTACCTCAAGTAGACACACGCCCTGGAGAACAATCATGGGAGAAGGAAGGGCTGCTTATGCACAGGGAGATAGCTCAGGGTGCAGAAGAGTATGAAGGGATGGAC